AGTTGAAGATTTGCAAAAAGAAGTGCTCGTCTAAAACGGACTCTCTAATAACGCAACGATGTCAAGAGCTGACTACATAATTATCTATAACGGTCAAATCTGTTGACATATGATTGATAATATAATACAGTTTCGTTTTTTTTCTATTTGTTTTTTTTTCTAGAAAAAAATCGTGAATAATTCTTTTTTTCGGGGGGAGGGGATAAATTTTGATTAAAATCAAGGGCCAGTCTCTTCATTAAAGAGGATGAATAACATTTTTTTTTTCAAAGTCGTTTCTTTTTAGCGTATACACATAGACAGATATAGAACTATTATAATACGGTTAAAAGTTACTATACTTTTTAAAAAAATATGGCGACAGTACTTAAATTTATAATATAAGATAAAGATACGAGCCTAAAGTTGAACACTCAGTCATTCTAAAGAACTACAAGTTATTTTCTATAGTATTATATCTAAAAGAAATTTGTGGCTATCACAAGAAAAGTACAATTTATTTTTATTTTGTTGTTTAATTTTTATAAATTTACATTCTTAGAATTAGAAATATTGTCGCAAAAAATGACAAGGATTTAAACTAAAAATTATCTTACAAATTACGTAAAATATAACTATTATTATATCTTAACGAAGAAAAATAATTGAAAACAGACATTTTTTTATACAATTGTTTTTTTTACATATTAACGCTTTTTTTCTAACATTACAACAAAATAATCGATTTGTTTTTTGTCCACCAACAATTATTTATTAAGCTTTTATTTGGGTACAAGAGAAACTATACAAATGTTACAAATACGTATAACGTATTTACTATAGAGTTCTTTTTTAAAGAAACTTCTCTCCTTAATTTCGAAATTAGTCATCTAGTTGTCATGTGAATAAAAAAATATGTTTGCCAATTTGTTAAAAAAAAAAACAATTTTCTGTATATCGAACCAAAAATCCCCTAAACAAAAAAACACCATCTTCCCCCTTTTGTTTTTCCATGTCTGTTTTCTAAACAAATTTTCGAGAGGGCAATAAATTATTGACATTATTTGTTCAAGGAGTAAAATCATCGTTTCTTGACGTACCACAAATTTCTGAATTAAAGCAAAAAAAAAAGACCCACTAAGCACAGTCTAGAACGAATGGGGAAAATGTGTTCGTACTTTTGAGTTCGATACGTCGAAGAAATAATAATAAGAAAAAAACCCCGTACTATACAATAGGTTTGCCTAAGTTTTTTTTTTGTTTCTTAAATAGTTTAACGACTTATGTTCGTTACTTTTCTCAAAAAAAAAAAAAAATACCATCACTCGCAAAATTTTCCAAACACACCACGAAATGAATAAACTCGCCAAATGTACACTCTCAATCACGCACATCAACGTGTATTCAAACACGTTCTATGTAAAGAATTTCGGAATGGTGGGAGAGGGACCCTTTGTTTTGTAACCTGTTTTATACAAATGAAACTACAATGAACAAATTCAAAGTCCTTTTTGTTACAGACAAAAGAAAAAGGTTTCTCACTTTAACCAAACTTGTACATAAATAAATATTGATAATAATAATAATAATTTTTTAATTTTAATTGAAAAAAATTTTTTTTTAATAAATTAAAATTATTAATATTATTAATAATAATAATAATAATAATAATAATAATAATAATAATAATAATAATTCAGGTATCTGAACTTTTGCAGATTTTTCTCTTCAGACTACAAAAAAATCAAAATAGTAATAATTATAATAATAATGATAATAATAATAATAATTTAATTAATAATAATAACAATCATATCAATACACTGAAAAAAAATTTTTATGATTGAAATAATTATTTACTTGAGTCAAATGATTTTCATTTTAATCGATAAAATGGTATTTATTTCAAATACTAAAATTATTGATTCAAATCTTATTTGATTTAAATAAAATTTATTTGATTCAACTAAATATTTATTTTATAATTAACAAGAAATCGTTTATTTGAATCAAGGAAAAATTTCTTTCTGTGTTTGATTAAACAATTAAATTATTAAATATTACAAACACTGAAATAGTAATAATAATCAGAATAATAAAAATATTTTTGTAATTAATTAATTATAATATTTCAATTATATTACAGTTGTATTATTTATAATAATAATATTTTTATTGTATTATAATTGTAATAATAATATTAATATTCTGTTACATTGTATTTATTTTTATTATTATTAATTATTTTTATTATTATCATTGTCATTTTAATTATTATTTTTCCTTATTATTATTATTATTATTTTTATTTTTGTTATTATTATATACACATTCTTTTTCTTTAGTTTTTAAAAAGATTTGCTTCCTTTCCTCGATCATCACTCAATTCCGAAATATATTGTGTTCAGTACATCTGGTTTTTGTATACACGCACGTAACAATGGAACAAAAACTGCTTACAGCTTTAAAATCTAGAATATATTCTCTAAAATAACGATAAAAAAAAGCCTTAACTTTAAGAGTCTCCTGGAGAAATTATACATGACTTTCCATTCTAATATCACAATAAATAAAAAAAAAAAGAAAGAACAAACAAATTTGCAAACTGACTTTATGCAAAAATTTATTAGTTCAGCGATTTTTGTTTTTTTTCAAATTTCCATCACCATTGGACTTTTTTTCAATTCTCTCTGTGATTTTTGAATATTTTTTTATGCGTCATTTTTTTCTGTACATTTACATTTTTAAAAAATGGGAAAATATTTTTATTTTTCTTCCATTTTTCCTGCTGTTGAACATTTTTTTCGATTATTTCTTTGATTATTAAATAAAAAGTTTGGTTGTATTTTTTTAGGTAAATTTTTAAAAGGGGTTTTTTTTACTGAAATAGTGTTTTTTTTATTTTTTAATTTAGAAAAGTAAACGGAATGAAGAATTAATAATTTAATAGATTGATATTAAATTATTTCCGTCGGAGTATTTTTCAATAAATGAAAGAAAAGAAAGAAATGAAGTTTTGAAAGAGAAAATAATTGGAAAATTGAGAAATAAAGAGAAAATAAATTGTTTTTTGGAAATATTTTCTTCTGCAAGAATTTTCTTTTTAAATAAATTTTCTTCTTTGATGATTTTTACTTTCAAAACTATTTTTATTTTCTTTCAAGAATTTCTTTCTGCAGGAGTTTTCCTTAAAAATTTAATTTTTCAAGAATTTTTATTTTCAATAATATTTTTCTTTAAGAATTTTTTTCTTTAAAAATGTTCTTTTTCAAGACTTTTTAGACACACATTATTCTTAAAGAATTTTTATTTTCAAAAATATTCCTTTTCAAGAATTTTTATTTTCAAAAATATTCTTTTTCAAGAATTTTCTTCTCCAAGAAATTTTATTTTCAAAAATAATTATTCATCAAGAATTTTGTTCTTCAAGAATTTATATTTACAAAAATATTCCTTTTCAAGAATTTTTAGTTTCAAAATTATTCTTCTTCAAGAATTTTCATCAAGAAATTTTATTTTCAAAAATAATCCTTTTCAAGAATTTTAATTTTCAAAAATATTCTTCATTGAGCATTTTCTTCTCCATGAAATTTTATTTTCGAAAATATTCTTCTTCGAGAATTTTCTATTTCAAAAATTTTCTTTTCGAAAAAATTTTTGTTTTTAAAAAATATTCTTCTTTAAGAATTTTCTCCTTGAAAAATTTTCTTTTTTAAGTATTTTAATTTTCAGAACTATTCTTTTTCAAGAATTTTCTATTTCCTTCTTTAGAAATTTTCTTTTCCAAGAAATTTGATTTTCGAGAATATTTGTCATTGAGAATTTTCTGTTTTGAATTTAATTTTAATATTTAATATTTTTTTTAATAGCATTCAATAGTCGATAAATTTTTTTCGTCTAGAAAAAAAGGGGGCAAAAATAAAAAATTGAAGGCAGGAAAAAATGAAAGAGAAATTTTTGTTCTATTTCTAAATATTTAAAATTTTTACTTTTTTTTTGTGTTTTTTTTTCACGGCTTTCTTGTACCACTTTAAGGTTTTTGCATCTTTCTCCTTCGTCAGTATTATTATTTCGCACACTCGGCTTTTCTTTACGGTTAATTGTGGTCGATGCTTCCTGCTGTCGCTTTATCACGAACCTGCTCTCTTTTCATGACAACGAACAATTTCGTCCTCTTTGCCGTTACCATGTCCGGTACAACTGGTGGCGCGGCCTAATTCGATTTTATTTTTGTGTAAAAATTAACCCCTTCGAAGGTGGGAATTGAAAAGGCAAAACGCATTCATTTATTTTCTGACCAAATGTCTTTCTTCAATAACTAACAATTTGTGTGCAAATTTTATTTTTTTTCCTCTTTCACTCTCTTTCTCTCTACTTTTTTTTTGTCTCACTCTCCCTTTTTTTGCAATTTTTAATCTAAACTTTGTTGTAATTCTTTTTGAAAAAAAGTAATTATTTTGAACTAATTGCGTCCTTGAAAATTTTTTCAATTTAAAGTTCTTGAAATTTTTTTTATAACTTTCAACCAATTTTTAAAAGTTTAAAGTTCATTAATTTTTTGTATAATTTTCAAACAATTTTTAAATTTTTTTACAACTTTTTCAAATAATTGAGTTTTTTTCCCGATGTCCAGAAAATTTTTTGAACGTTCAAATGAACGGAGATTTTTTTCGGTGCTTCGTTCAATTTTAATTTGGTTAAAAAATATTGAATTGTACATTAAAATATAATCTTTAAGTAAATAAATATTTAACGTCGGCATTTTATTTTGTTTCTTTATATTATTCTTTTTTTATTGTTTTAATTTTTGAATTTTTTTTATTATTTTATTAATTTTTTTTATTCTATTTTTATTCTACTTTTTTAATTCCATTTAATTATTATTTATTTGTTTATAAAAATAAATAGACTATTTAATTTTAGCAAATATTTAAATGGAAATAATTTCCTTCATTTGAATGTTCAAAAATTTAGAATTATAGAATTTTTCTACCTTTTTTTTGAATTCATGAAAATAATTGTTCGTTTTATGAAACATTTTGTTTACTTAATTTTCATTTTTTTTTTTTAAAGCAAGAGTGACAGCGAAATTGTAAATATGACAAATTGCAAATATTTTCAAATTCAAGACACGTTTTTCTTGTTTTATTCTTTTGATTAACATTTTTTTTACATAAAAAAAATTTTCCACACTTTAATTTTGTTCCGTTTTTTTCTATTTCTATTTTATTAACAAGAAGAATTTTAGTATCGAATTTTCCCATTGGATTTTGATTTTGAGAGATTTGAATAAATCGCTGGCTCGTTTTTTCCGATTAACAATATTAACAATAATTATAATTTTAAAAACATTTTTTTTTTTTTTTGAAGATCGTGGCCGAATTTTCTAAAAACAAAAATTATTTTGTCGAGAACAGATCGATAGAAAATACGTAGCAAATTTGCTGACAAATGAAATTAGTCGAACAACAAAGAATTTCTGGCTTTTGTTGCCAAAATCGCTCTTCAACTTTTTTTTTTCTTTTAATTCGGTTCGATTTTCTTCTTTGGAATCAGCCACTTTCAGTCTCCATGCGTGAAGTTACTTTTCTTTAGGTCAATCTAAAACAAAAAGGAAAAATTTGCTTAATTAAAAAGTAATAATTTTTTTTATGACAATATTTTATTATAATTATATAATTTTATAATTTTATAATTTTGTATTATTGAATTTATTATTATTAAAATTAATAATGATTGAGATAATAAAAACTATAATATGAAAAATAAAATTAGTAATAAAATTAATAATATTCATAATATTAACTTTTCTTATTGATATTATTTTTATTATAATACGTTGTAATTTATTACAATAATTTATTATAAACATTTCGAAATTTTACGTCTTCTTGTAATTGAAAATTATTTCTTGCGATTTTTAATTAAATTTAATCCATAATTTATGAATATTTTTTTCTATATCTTTCTGACATTTACAACCTTTTTTTTACTGTAGAATATTTATATTTTATTAGAATTCCTTCTTTTTTTTAATTTTATTACTTTTTGAGTTAAAAATTTCAATTTAAATTTAACTTGAACAATTTTTATTTTAACAATATTGTCCTTTTTTATTTATTAATAAATAATAACTAAAAAAAACTATATTATCATATTCAGTTTTTTTTTGTTATCATTTCTATATTATTTTAAGTTTCGTTTTACTAAGTTTTTTTTTCTATACATATTTGTATAATGTCATTTTCAAAATAACCTTTTAATTTTATAGTCACATTTGCATTTATCAACATATGATAAATGTATTCTGATAAAAAACATGATCCAACTTTTAAAACACGTTTAAATTGTGCAAATACATTTTATGAATATTTTTTATTGACTAATTAATAATGAATTCTTTAAAATTATCGATAAGAAAAAAAAAGAAGTCTCAATAAATATTTTCTGTATATAATGTTATTTCAATATAAACTATTGATAATTTTTTTTTAAGTAACAAATTTATCATTTTATTTAATTTTATATATTTATCAAAGTCGAATTTCGAAAAAATTGTTGCTTATTTCGAAGATATTGAATTATTGATAGCCTTTACTGGAATAAAGTTGATATTTTTGTATTATGATAAAATAAAGCAAAAACGTGAATTGCTTTTTTAGAATGATTTTTTTTCGTCATTAGCCACGTGTTTGCGCGTTGAATTTTTTTCTGTTCGTAATTTATATTATACTCGTTGGGGGGAAGAAAAAAATATTAATTTTTATTCACAACTATATTAAATGTCTAATATCTTAAATATTTATGAAAGAGAAAATGTTTCGAAAATTCTAAAGAAAATATTTCTTCACAATAAAATTACTGATTTTTGACAATAAATTTTCAACTTTGAAAAAGAAATGAATTTTCAACTTTGAAAAAGAAATGAATGTATATTGTTCAATTTTGAATAATTAGAAATTTTCAGATTTTCGAAAAAAAGGAAGTATTCGATTTTTCTGTTTGAAAGTTGACAAATAAAAAGATCGATTCAAATTGCAAAAAGGAAACATCGATAATGTTGGAAAAAATAAATAATAAATATTTATCTCTGCTATTTGAATATTTAGCACAACATTTGTTTTTTAGTCAATGGCAAAACTCTTACGTTAATTAGTTTAAAACAGGAGTTTGCTAAGAAACCGGTTAAAGAGAAGAGGAAAACAGAGGGCGAGAACCGGAAATAACTACCATAAACTAGAGTTATGCCTGGTAAATATTGTAAAGCGTTTCACTTCGGATATTTTTCCATCTAGAAAAATTAATTTTCAAATTCGCAAAATTTGTTTATTTTCAAAAACTAATTTTGCTACAAAAACTAATTTTAAAAACTAAAAAAAAAGGGAAGTATAAAATAAAAAGTTAGAATTACTTTTTTCTTCTTAGAAAATAAAAATTCATTTTTAAAAATACAAAGAAGAAATCTACTGGAAAATTAACAAAAGGAATATTTCCCCTTTTCATGAATAACTTATATTTCAATTTGCGAATATAAAATGAAGTGATTTTTCACATATTATGTGTATTCATTCATGAAGGCAAAAATTTATTAAGTGATTTAGCTTCGAATAAAGAAGAAAAGAAAGGAAAAAAAAATGAAAAATGCAATGAAACCGAATAGCAGTGCTATTAAACGAACGACACTGGTTCTGATAAGTGTTACGAGTTTCTTGTCCATTTTTTTCAACATGTCAATAATTTACTGTCATAATAAACGCATCGTTTTTTTTTTTAATGCAAACTCTGTTTTATTTTATGTTTTGAAAATTAAACCAACGAACAAGAATATTGAAACCATAAAAATACAATTTTACCATAAAAAAAAAAGTCTCATTATGAAAGCAGGAACAAAAATGAGAATCAAAAATATTGTTGGCTCTAAAAATATACTTTTGTTTAATTCAAAAAATTTCATCTGATTTTTAGATATTTTACTGATTCGGGTATTGATGATTATGATAATAGAAACGCTAATAAGATATTTTGAAAAGTGAGCAAAAAGTAGACAAATTTTGATGTGTTTTATATTTGAAATATTTGGAAGACTATCCAGACTGTGAATATTTTTCCTTTCGACGAAATGCATATCGAGAGGGATGACTGTAATAAAAGTTGGTAGCCGAAAAATTGAGGGAAAAATTATCAGTATAGTGGAATCAGAAACGTTTGGCAGACGTGAGTTTTTTTCTTTTGCTTTTTAAGTCTTTGTGGAGATTAGAAACCGCGGAAAAAGGAGTTGCGACCCATGGGGGTATATGTGTGTGTGTAAAGTGAGAGAGAAAAGGAAATCGGGTCTCTCTTTCTCTCTCTCTCTGGTATGGTATATAAGGAAGAGCGTTGGTTGGTTGCACGTATGAAAACTAAGTCCGGGTTTCATTTGACTGACTTTACGAGGGAGACATAAAATGGATTTTACTGTCGGCTAGTTCGCCAGTTCTCGAGTTGCTAACATTGCTTTTGCCGAGTATAATATATACGCTTCTGCCTTTCCACCCTCAGCTTTCTTCATTCCTCGTCATCTGTATTTTTCCTCCGAGCATTTCATTCTTATTTCATTTTCTTCGTTGAATTCTCTTTCGTCACTTTTCTTCTTTATTCCTTCCTTATTCCTTACTTTTCTTTACTGTTTATTTACTATTTTTTAGTGTTTTTACTGTTCTTTACTATTCTTTACTGTTCTTTACTATTCTGTATTGTTCTTTACTATTCTTTACTGCTCTTTACTATTATGTACTGTTCTTTACTATTCCTTCCTTATTCTTTGCTATTTATTTACTATTTTTCAGTGTTTTTACTGTTTTTTACTATTCTTTACTATTCTTTACTATTCTTTACTGTTCTTTACTATTCTGTACTATTCTTTACTATTCTTTACTATTCTCTACTGTTCTTTACTGTTTTTCTTTTTTTCTCTATTCTCTTTTACTATTTTTTACTATTCTCTGCTCTTCTTTACTATTCAGGGTTGCCACGCAATCTGTAAACCTGGAAAACCTGGAAATGTCAGGGAATTTTATAAACCTTGAAAAAACCTGGAAAAGTCAAGGAATTTTCATCGAAATCCTGCAAAAATTGTTATTTTCTAAAGTTTATTCTTGAAATCTAATTTTATATAAATATTTCAAAATTAATTAAATTTTCAAAAAGTTGCGTTTACAATTTTCATAAGTACAGATGAATTTCAAAAGGTTTTAATTTGAAATTTTGTAAAATTTCAATTTTCAACGAACTTAACTAGAAATCGTCTTAAGTAAATTTTTGAGAAATTTTAATTATTCTAATTTTTCTGAAGTTAGTTAAATTTTTTAATATATATTTTTAATTAATTATTAAAACTAATGGATTTATAGAAGAATTTTAATTAAAAACACTAAAGGAAATTAAATTTTGAAGCAATTACAAATTACTGCATAAATTCAATTATTTTCCAAATTATAGTATAAAGTTCTTCTTCGAAATTAAATTATTTCCAACAATTTTAATAAAATTCAGGGCAAAATTCCAATTATTAACAAAAACATTCCTCAATTCAATGATTTTTAATAAATCTACTACTTTAATCAAATTTTTCAAAAGAATTCAATTATTTAGAAAAAAATTGTTAATTCTACGCAAACATTTCATTATTTTCATAAATAATAAAACTTATCTTATAGACTTTTAATTATTTTTAATACAATTTTAATGAAATTATTCTTAAAAATTTTATTAAAATTCATCAAAGAAATTCAATTATTTAAAAAGACATTTTAATAAAATTCGTCTTAAGAATTCAATTGTTTTCAAAATTAATATAATTCTTCGCAGAAATTTAATTGTGTTCAACAATTTACAAAAATTCTCGTCAAAATTTCAATAATCAAATTTTTCTCCGAAATTCAAATATTTTCAAAAACTCTTATAAAAAAAAAGTTTCAAAAACTCTTTTCTCTTTGGAGAAATTCAATTATTTATTTATTTTTATTAAAATTTTAATTAAATTTTCGAAAAATAAACTTATTCTTAAAAATTCTACTAATTTGTTGATGAAAGTCTTTATAAAAATTCAATTTTAAGAAACATTCAATTATTTAATAAAATATTTATTATTTTATTTAAATAGTTGAATTCTCGTGGATTTTTCTAGTAATTTATTTAAAAATGAATTTCAGTTAAAATTTTAAATTATTATTGAATATTGAAAGCAATATAGCGTGAATTTTTAGAAATAATTGAATTTTGAAAATGTTTCAAATTAAAATTTTTAAGAAAATTTGAATTTTTCATACTTTTAATTAACAATTCTGTAGAATTTATTTTTTAAAAAAGTTTAATTACATTTTTCTTTAATTCTTGAAGTTTTTATTTTCTAATATACATTTATTTGAAGAATATCGGAATAATCAAAATTATGTGAAAATTAATATTGAAAATAATTGAATATTTACGAAGAATTTTATCGTTTTTGAAAATAATTGAATTCTTGCGGAGAATTTTATCAATTTTTTTAATTTATAATTTATTTAATTTAAAGAATGTCAGAATAATTGAAAGTTTAGGTAAAATTGAATTGTAAACAAGTG